TTAATCGCAATTTTGACTATAATCGTCCATAATTTACGATATATCGGTGATTTTTAACAACTGGTGATTAATCGGCTTGCGTGAAAAATCGCCAGTTGTTAAAAGTCACCGATATATCGCCATTCTTAAAATTTTTATTCTGCAGTAGAGTAAGTATATAAGAAACACGATTTTAAGGAGAAATGTTCTTCTTTTCAGATTATCTTTTTAGTTTTAGCTTAAAACGAAATCCCCAAGAGTGTCTCTGTAGTTTCCTCAGAACTGACTCATTGTTTCAATTTGAGTCAGTTGTGAACCGAGGATCCCAGTTGATTGTTAAACTAAAAATCCGCCGATTAATTGCTATTAATCGGTAAAAGGGTTAAAAAATCGTCGATTTATTGATGATTTTAATCATCAAGCGATTAAAAGCGCACGCTAAATCGACTGAGTAATCGCTAAAAAATCGTCGATTTATTGCCGATTTTGACTACATGGGTGGTTAAGGGTCAGGACGACGATTAGTAAGTGGCAGGGGTATAACCGGTATCAAAAATGCGATACCGGTATACAAACTTTGTACCGGTACGGGCTGGTACCGGCTTGTCTTGATCATATTTTGTCTAAATACAAATACTTTTTCCTTGTTTTCCTTTACCGTGAACTTTATTCCATGTTACCAAAGGAATAGATTAATCTTTTCACTTTGATTATATATAGCTGATTTTTCACACGCCTTTTTTTACGAATACAGTAATCCAGTTCAGTCTTTTAAATTAAGAAATTTATATAAGTCGACAAAGCTTAAGTAATTGGAATGAAATTTTAGTGGAAGAAATATGTCACAGATGAACTAAATTTACACGATGTTTCTCGAAAAAAAGTGTATCATACCGCTAAATACTAGCAGTATCGGCCGACTGATTATACTTCATACTAATGCCGGTATACCGGTCGCCGTTATAATTCGTACCGGTACCGGTTGCACCTCTGGTAAGTGGATAAATGAACGCTACTGAAGATCAAATCGCCGAATTATTTCTGTGACGTGTGACGTATATATTCTCAACTATATTGAGCGAAAGGTTACAGATAGGTGGTCTCGAGGACTGCGCGCGTAGTAAAGTTCAGTTCAAGTTACGAAAGCCTGAGCTTTTCTGTAACGAAAAAGCGGTTGTAAAACAAAAATTTATTTAGTTCAAACAAGTTGAGTTTAACATATCATAAACTGAATGAGCTTCCTTTATTTTGATGCAACAGTTGCTAATGTCTCGTAGATGTTTTATTGTTTCATTTAACTGTAGCATGTTTTTGGTTCCTTCTTTCGGATGCTGTATAATATTTTTTCTGCTATTAATTTGCTTAACAGCTAACGCTTAATGGGGTCCATGTTACGACTCGCGTTAAGAACGAGATTAGAACAATCAGTATGTTGTATTATAAAGTATACCCATAAAAAATATGTATTGTTATGTCTTGTAATGAGAAAGAAAATTATTTGATATGGTCAGTTGGTTAGTTAACTTGACACTAGAACGAAATCTAATACGTTTTTTGCATTTTGTTTTCTCTTATAAATTTTCGAATGACGAGATATGCAGAGCTCTGGAACGTCTCAAATGAGAGAGAAAAGTGTGCTAAAGATTTGGACTACTGCCAACTTTTGGATGCATTCTATATGATACATCTTAAATTTCTCACCTCTCTGTGTTAGATAACGTACAAAAGTTGGCCTGTAGAATAAGCCTTAGAGGTTATGACAATTGTTTCTCCCAACTTCTCACTCCGCTAAATTCAGCATCGCTCTCCACTCGAAGAAAATATTTTCGTCTTGCTTATTTATATAAACTATACAACGGGAAAAGTGTTTTGTCTGTTAGAAACCTAATTACGCCGTCAACAAATCGACGAGTCATCTCGAGTAACGCATGATAAACAAATTCAAAAATATTACTGTTCCTTAAAGTCCGCTTTGGGATCATTTTTTCCTCGTACCACTGACAACTGGAATGTGGTACCGTGCAGCGTTGTGAATCAAACCAGTCACAGAAGCTATAAAAGTCTTTTGAAACAACATCTTCAACTTTTATAGTTGATCTGTCTTTTCTTGTACCTTGTCAGCAAAATGTGCTAAAATGTAACATTCCGCTTTGATGCCATATATGAGTCTGTCATATAAGTTTATTACTGTTTCGAATGTAACTTGCTCTTTTTAGTATTTTTTTATTTCTTCACCATTTTCGGTATTGCATTGGCATAAGCTAGCCTTCCTTTGTAACAACCATGCTTGCAAAGTAAAAATTCAGTTCAGTTCAGTTCAGATATATTCACGTTCTATACGTTTCTTTGTTTAAAAAATATGATTAAAAGGTACCTGAGTGTGAGTACATCTCAAAATCTTCAGCACACTTCTCTCTTTAATTTAAGACGTTCCAGAACTCTGTACATCTCGTCATTCGAAAATTATAAGCGAAACAAAATGCAAAAAAAAATGTGAAAATTTTCACTCTGGTAGCAGAGTTAGTTGGCCAAGTCGTGTACGCGTAAAAAGGTGGAATTTATTTGTCCTGTGTCCTTCTCACATTCCACTGGCGCTTGTATGAGACACGCATTCATATAAACATTTATTTTTTTGAAAACAAGAAAAAACCGTTCATTGAATAAAATATGCGTCTATGAGTATGTTTGTTTTGTCTGTTAACAGTCATAGATGGATGTATTGATGATGTGTTTTTTTTATTTGTCTCAACTTGTTCAAGCTTTTTTTCTGTTTCTTTGTTTCTTGCTTGTTAATATAATACATGTAATCATTGATCGGTGAAGTGTTAGCTCGAACAACCGAATGACCTTTCGTATTTTCTAGTTTCTGCAAGAGAAGAAGAAAAGAAAAGAGAGACAGAGAGAGGAGTAAACGATTTTTTTATACAATTATATAATCAAGAGTAAAAGTGCAACAATAATATAAATATCATTTTTTTAATTTTATATGTGCCCTTCTCATCTGCACATGACGTAACCTTTATGTTAAAACACTTTAATGGTCTACTTTGTCTAATTAATTATTATTGATTCTGATGATGGATGATTCTTATATGTTCAACTATATTGCATGACGAAAAGAAAAAACAAATCACAAAAATGTGATGCTTTGCTTTCAACAAGTGAATAGTAAAGAAATACAGTGATTTTGAGAGATATTTTTTCAGTAGTTATGATTATACATGATAAATAAAGTCGTTGAACGTACAGCTGGTGAGTTGGATAAATTGAAGAATTTAACAAGGTGATACTATAGGTCAAGCTATTTTCTCACTAATCTGTCTTAACGATTCGAAAAAAGTTAAATAAAAGTACTTGAAACTATTCAAAGTGCCTTCGCTTCAGAGGTTCAGAATCTACCCGCTTGCGGTAACGGCCAGTTGGAGAAATTTTTGGAAAATTACGGGGTACAGTTGTGTTGAATCGTTTCAGAAAAGAACAAGTACCAGGATTACCAGAGATAACCGATGATGAGTTGAACCAGTGGTCTTCTTTATAGTTACAACGTTATTTATGTGTTAAGTGGTCATATTTCTCTCTTCTTTTTTCCGAGCATACACGCTAAACAGAGAAGCCTTCTTTTTTTATTTTTCTAGTCTGGGAAATTTTTTGAAAAAACTTCACTGTTCGAGGAAATTTTTCAGTTTAGCGACAGATTCTGCACCTCTGCTTCGCTTGAAGAAGCACCTTCTCTTTTTTCGATCGTCGTACAAGGACGACGAAGAAAACCTCGTCTTGCGGCTACCGTTACCGGTAGAGGGTTCTGACGAAAGGCAGTTTCAATAGCCCGATATCTTCCTTGCAATTGACAAGCTTCTGAAATAGTCACCCAAGTTGTTACTAAGCACCAACTGCAACTCTAATCAGAAGGCTAGTCCGACACAGAGTTCTTTTGCTCAATTATATACTTCACCAGCCAGTACTACCATTCCGGAAAGTCGCGAAAACTCCCATATTGTCGAAACCGACGATTAACCACGGTTATTTTAAAAACCGACAAGTCTTAAAATAACCGTCGTTAACCGCCGGTTTCGACAACGTGGGCTAGCCGAAGAAGTTTATTGTACATATAAACTCGAGAGAAAATGTCCGATGAAGTGAAAATTTAACGAGATCTCGAAAATCAATCTATTTTAGCATAGAATATTCTATTCAAGTTTTCTAGAAAACTAGGCTTTTACCTTTCGCATCTTGCGCACCTATCGAAAGTTCATCTAACCAAGCTGAAAATTTGACTGTTTTTGAGAGGTTGCATCTAGGAAGTTAACTTTTGGAAACATTTTATTATCTTTTACTTGTTGAAATCGTAAAAACACTAAATGTCCCGTAAAAAAAACAAGATGTTTGATTTTAAAACTTTGTCATCCGAGAACACAACATTAATAACATTAAAAAGAAATTTAATATTTGAGATATGACTTTAGCGAGCCACCATAAAAGCTTTGAGTCCGATCGGATGACGTACGAAAGCATTACAGGTAACATTAGAGAGGGCATTCTCTCAGGACATTTGCGGCAATATCGACATCTTGCCGAAAAACGATTAGGAAATTGTGAGAAATGCCTTGCTATGAAGAGATCAGTTGGCTTAATCAAACTCGGTATAACAAAATATTTGTAAAGGCACTGGAAAGAAGAGAATAATTTACGATGCTGAGGAACTTGAATTCTTTAGCCGTTAAAGTAAAAACAAAAAAAAACGCTGGCAGTCTTACATTGCAGCTCAGACTTTTCTCTGCATTACTTCAACTCTAATCCAAAAAATTTTCAAAAAAAACGAAAGGATGTCATTAATAAATCATCTGTATTGACATATATACGAGGGCACCTTTTACCTTCGATTACAAAATAAGAACATGAAGAATTATGAAAAATGAGAGTGATAGTTTTCATAATACTCTCATACTTTGATGAATAATACTTTTTTTATACAAAAACAATGACTTTTATCGAACATCCATTTGTAGATGATGTTGACTTTGATGAGTAGCACAAGTAGACGTGGTAGTAGTAACAGCGACAATACAGCCTTGGCATTGGGTACCACATTTAATGAGCAAACATTTTATCGTTCATGTCTACTAGGTGATTTAGAACGTGTACAATACATTCTACGTACAACAACACATATAAATATCAATCATCAAAATGATGAAGGTCTCACATTGCTTCATCTCGGCTGTATTAGTAATTTTTATGGACTCGTTCAACTATTACTACAATATCATGCACAAATTGATATTCATGATAAATATGGTCGAACATGTCTGCATTACATTGCCATGAATGATCATCGTGCACTCATCAAACTTATTCTAAATAAGCCGTCGACTCGTTTTCCGTTAATAGAATTAAATTCATCATTAGACAATAATAATCAAAATCATATTACAAATGATTATATTAATTTATGTGATAAACAGGGGAAAACGGCGTTGATTCTAGCATGCGAATATGGTCATTTAGAATTAGCAGAATTATTGATTAATGAATATAAAGCGGATGTAAATAAAAATGATCCACTACATTATGCATCCATCGAGGGTAAATTCGATGTATGTCAATTATTAATTCAATATGGATCAAATGTAAATCATGTACTAATGCCAAAAGTCGTACAAGAAATATGTCAAAGAGGTCATATGAATGTAAGTACCGGGATGTGCATAAGTTTTGGAAAAAATGTCGAATGCTGTCCCTCCATGTTCTTAAGGGTATTCCTCCTCTCATTTTAGGCTCTCCGCAGAAATCCTGTGAAATAAAAACTAAAAGTCACTAAGACTTCATGTTTTCAAAACTGATTGGAAACTCAATGGAGCACTTTCTTCGTATTTGTTTCAAGTTCTCATCTCTTGCCGTTCACCAGAGTTCGATCGAGTTTGTTTTGCTTTGATCAGAAATGATTGCTCTTCTCTACCTAGTTGCAACATCAAAACTTCGATCACGTTTTCCGTTTCTTGCTGGGTACACTGTTGGAAACGGGATTGTCGATTTTTGACATATTTTTGAAACTTGATTCTGGAGCACACCATCTACTCTAAAAAGTCTTTTTACAAACCACAAGAAAGAGCACATTTGAAAGTAGCCAACACAAATTGTGCTGTCGCTTTTGCTCCGTTTTTTTTACGGAAATAATAGGAGAAGAAGAAGGTTAAGTAAAACAAACCAAATTTACAAAGTTTTTATTTTTTTCGCCTCGTGTATAATTTTTTGCTTAGTTTTCTTGATTGAAGTTCTAAAATTAAAGTTTAGGTACGGATTTTGTAGAGAATTTCACGACGCTTCTATTAAAAAAAGAACTTATTCTAGAGGACCTAAGAAACAGGAGTTAAAGCAAAAATACCGAGACCGGATTCACGGTTGATTTTTCTTGTTTGTGATGCACATTTCTAAACCTATAACATTCTTACTAGATGAGCTAACAGGGTCAATCAATAGTCATCTTGTAGAACGTTTTTTACTGCATCTTTTCTTCACAGAGACAAATTTACTATCACTTGTTTCACTATAGAAAAATTTATTATTCAAATCGGATTAGGACTTCGGGGCCACCCTTTATTGCACACGAAATGATGATTTCCAGAAATTTGACATTTAGAACATATTTCTAAAAGCCACTAAAAAGGTATCTGAATTTTTTCTTAATCAAGTTTTATGAGAGAAGAATTTGTTTGATACACGCTGTGTACTACAGACTTTTCACTTTCGAACAAAAAAAAGAAGCCGAATCACCAGAGTATTTCTATCTCCCGCCTAATTTCTACTAGGATCTTACAGGATCCTAACATTCAGGATCCGATTAGAATTTTACATAAGTTTGTTCAAGTTCCTAACAGAATCTTAGAAAATCCTATGGCTTTCGGGTATATCTGATTTCATTAGAATTGAGTAGGATATTGTTAGAATCCTAAGAAATCAAAAGCGAAATCCTAGTAGGATACTGGCAGAATATGTCTCAGACTTGGAACCGTTTGAAAAAAACGCAATCGGATCGGATCGGCATTAACAGCCGATTAAAACGTTTTTCTAAATCGGTAAAAACCGGTCTAAAAAAAGTTTGATTATTTTCTAATGATATTTGTTTTTCAGTGGTCTATGCCACTAAAACACACAGTGTGTCCTTGTAACCATCTTTCAAGAGATGGAAATATAAGCACTTGTCGACACCAAGCTTCGAAATATGTCAAAGCTTCTAAGTCGACATTGAAAAGCTTGGTGTGAGTCCGATGAGCTTCTTTGTTTACAACTCTTACTTATTCTGACAATATGCAGTGCAAGAAAACAGATCAATTTGAAGAGAAGAAACAACTTTGTAGAAAACATAATGAAAAAAATGTATTGAGTCAGAGTCTGAATTACTTGTTGAATGCATAGCTAAATTTTCCTTCGAACCCTTCTTAAAACTATAGATGTTATTAGGGGAAAGTAAAAAGTCAGTTTTGTTTCTGCTATTGAAATTTACACGAAAAAAAGCAAATTTGTTTTTTCAAATTCTTTTTGCTCAAAAAGTGATTTGAAAAGAAGGAAAATCCTAAAAAAGTTTTATAAAGATAAAACGGTAAAAAAACGGTAAAAAACGGTCGATTGAAAAGTTTAATCGGATCCGGTTCCAATTCTGATATGTCTTGGATCCTATCAGAAAACGCAAAGGACTTTTGCTAGGATTACGGTCTAAGATTTTTCTCGATTTTACTGTTAACCTCTTTATTTAGGTATTACAACTATTATTAAATAGTAAATATGAATTATCTCTGCCATCTCGTACAGAGGGTAACAGTGTGTTATATCATTCAGTTATTGCTCTCGATAAATCCATCGTGCAAGAACTACTCGAACATGAAGCCCGACTGAATGAAAAAGATATTCATGATCTTCTCTCACATGTTTCCATATTAATTCATAATAGTCAACAATTAGATCAATATTTTGATTGTCTAACATGTCTCTTTCAATATCGAACAAATTTTGATGATTCAAAAATTTCAAAATATTTTATTAAACAATTAGCTGAACATATTGTATCACACACATCTGTTGTATCGTCACTCATTCTTAAGCATGCCTTCGTTCGATTAAAATATTTATTTGCATTGAGTTTATACGGTGGACAAATACCATTACGAAGAACAACGGGTAAATGGTGTGCTCAAATCGTATGCGATACTCATCGACAAATTAATTTATCAGATGTATTTAAACAGTTGACATCGACGTGGTCATTAAAACACATTCTAAGAATTAAAATAAAACAATCAATGACAATATTCAATAGAAATGAATTAAGAAAATCACATTTACCTCAACATTTACAACGATTTTTAGCGTTTGATTATTTGTAAGATATCTATCGGAATGAAACAAATCATGAGAGAATAGATTTATGTTTTTGCTATTATTTTTTGTTTTCTAGCGAATAAAATTTTTGTATTTGAAATATAATCAGTGTTACTGCTAATTGAATGTACCCAAGTCAAAAACAACTGACAGTTAATAGGACATAAATGGCCTTTCTCTTCAAAACGGAAGTGAAGTGAGACTTTGATTTTCCTCGATTCAGTCATTGTATCGGATTTCCTACGAATCCCAGGACTTTCACCCGGGGGCTATTGGCAGCCTTGAAAATGAATAGACTATAGGTAATCGAACATGGTGAGCCTCGTGGCAATATTTGTTTCTACAAAAAGTTTTACGAAAATTTGTTTTTCAGGCTGTTTTCACATAATAGTAAAACATTAGCTATTCACTCAAAATACATCAGAACGAGTTCGCAAATTCAGGTTATGGTTAGTTTTATCGAAACGTGAGTGGAAGTTCGAAAAAGCATGTTTTCGTTAATGGGTTTTTCAGAAATACTTCCAGCAAATCTTAGAGTTTTGTGAAATGTCCTTTCTAGATCTCCTATAAACAGGATTTAGAAAAGCTTAAGTACTCTACATTATGAATTTGTGAACTGGTTCTGATGTTTTTTGAGTTAATAGCGAACTTTTCAATATTAGGTTAAAACAGTCCGAAAAACAAGTTTTCGTAAAACTTTTTCTAGAAACAAATATTGCCACGAGACTCAACATGTTCGATTACCTATAGTCTATTCATTTTCAAGTAGGCATGCAATGGTTACGGTTATTACGGTTAACGGTTAATAACCGTAACTGGTGCATGCCTATTTTCAAGGCTACCAATAGTCACCGGATGACAGTCCTGGGACTAGTAGGAAATCTGATGCAGTGCCCGAATCGAAGAAAATCAAGGTCTCGCTTGACTTCCATTTTGAAGAGAAGAGCTTTCTGCTGAGCTAGGTGCTTTCTATCAAAAGTATTCCAAAAACATCCATTGCCTTTATACTTTGTAATGAATAGTAGTTGTACACTACATGCTGGCATGCACTGATTTCGCTTTTTAATCGGTTAGCCGAAACCGATCATCATCAATAACCGAAAAGTAATTTTATTTGTATAGATTCTGGAAAATACGGTTCAAACACTATGATGGAAACATCTGTTGTTCAATCAACAAACGCTCATCCCAGTGGAAAGAAGTTCAGAATTGTACGCTGTACACTTTTTGGACACAACACTTTTCATGTAAATTTAAGGAAAAAAGTTACTTTGAAGATACAACTTTTACTTTTTATAACAAGTAACGCTCATCTTCGATTCACTAACCCTTGACTGAAAGATTCTGGTGCTAACGAACCCGACATGTACGGTGCGCGAAATTCGCATCTTACAGAAAATGAATTTTGTTGTCTTCGGTAT